ATATTGAGCTGCATGAGCTGTTTATATATTTGGGGGATTAATCCTTTGTCCGTTGATTCATCTGCAACTATTTCCTCCATTCTAAGGGTTGTCTTTTTGTCTTTTTTATAGTTTCCTTTGTTGTGCAAAAGCTTTTAACTTTCATTAGGTCCCATTTGTTTATTTTTGGTTTTATTTCCATTTCTCTAGGAGTGGGTCAAAAAAGATCTTGCTATGATTTATGTCAGAGTGTTCTTCCTATGTTTTCCTCTAAGAGTTTTATAGTGCCTGGTCATACATTTAGGCCTTTAATCCACTTTGAGTTTATTTTGTGTACGTTAGGGAGTGTTCTAATTTCATTCTTTTACATGTAGGTAGCCAGTTTTCCTAGCATCACTTCTTGAAGAGACTTTCTTTTCTCCATTGTATATCCTTGCCTCCTTTGTCATAGATTAGTTGACCATAGATGTGTGAGTTTATCTCAGGGCTTTCTATCCTGTTTCATTGATCTATACTTCTGTTTTTTATGATTACTATAACTTTGTAGTATACTCTGAAGTCAGGGAGTCTGATTCCTCCAGCTCTGTTTTTTTCCCTCAAAATTGCTTCAGCTATTCAGGGACTTTTGTGTCTCCATACAAATTTTAAGATTTTTTGTTCTAGTTCTGTAAAAAATGTCATTGGTAATTTGATAGGGATTGCATTGAATCTGTAGATGGCTTTCAGTAGTATAGTCATTTTCACGATTCTTCCAATCCAAGAACATGGTGTATCTCTCCATCTGTGTCATCTTTGATTTCTTTCATCAGTGTCTTATAGTTTTCTGAATACAGGTCTTTTACCTCCTTAGGTAGGTTTATTCCTAGTTATTTTATTCTTTTTGTTGCACTTGTGAATGGGATTGTTTCCTTAATTTCTCGTTCTGATCTTTCGTTGTTAGTGTATAGGAATGAAAGAGTTAAAGAGTGTTTTTTTTTTTTTCTTCTTCTTCAGTTTCTTGATATGGTAAATTGCACTGATTAATTTTCAAATTTGTATCATCCATGAATTCATGGAATAAATCCTACTTAATTACAATGTATTATTTTTTATAGGCAAGGATTTGATTTATTAATATTTTAAGAAGTTTTAGTTCTATGCCCATTTTGGATATTGTCTGTAATTTTCTTGCAATGTTTCTGTATGGTTTTGGTATCAGAGCAATGCTGTCCTCATGAAATGAGTTAAGGAGTATTCCTATCTCTTTAGTTTTCTTGAAAACTTTGTGTAGGGCTACTGCTATTTATTCCTTAAATGTTTGGTATAATTCCCCAGTGAGGACATGGGCCTGCAGTATGCTTCATGAGAAGGTTTTTTATAATTTTTTATTGAAGTATAGGTGATTTACAATATTGCATTAGTTTCAGGTGTACAGCATAGTGATTTGTTGTTTGGTTATTCTTTAGATTATATTCCATTACAGGTTATTACAAGATATTGGATATAATTCCCTGTGCTATATACTACGTATAGTAGTTTGTATCTGTTAATCCCATGCCCCTAATTTGTTGCCCCCCTCCTTTTTCCCTTTTTCCCTTTGGTAATCATAAGTTTGTTTTCTACATCTGTGAGTCTGTTTCTGTTTTGTATATAGAATCATTTGTATTATTTTTTTGATTCCACATACAGCTGATATCATATAGTATTTGTCTTTCTGTCTTACTCCACTAAGCATAATATTCTCTATGTCCAACCATGTTGCTAAAATGTAACTATTTTATTCTTTTTTTAACACTAAGTCATATGCCAATACACACACATACAGACACACACACAGAGACAAACACACACACACACAAAACATCTTCTTAATCCAATCACCTGTTGATGGGCACATGGGTTACTTCTATGTCTTGGCTATTGTAAATAGTGCTGCTATGAACATTGGGAGCACATGTACCTTTTTGAATTAGAATTTTCGCTTTTTCCAGACATATACCCAGGAGTGGGATTACTGGATCATAGCTCTATTTTTAGTTTTTTAAGTAACCTCCAGACTGTCTTCTTTACTGGCTGCATCACTTTACATTCCCACCAACAGTGCAAGAGGGTGCCCTTTTCTCCACACCCTCTCCAACATTTATTATTTATAGACTTTTTGATGACAGTCATTCTGACCAGTGGTAACACCTTGTGGTTTTGATTTGCATTTCTCTAATAATTAGTGATGCTGAGCATCTTTTCATATACACGTAGGCAATCTGTATGTCTTCTTTAGAGAAACGTCTATTTAGGTCTTCTACCCATTTTTTGATTGTGTTGTTTGTTTTTTTAATATTGAGTTGTATGAGCTGTTTGTGTACTCTGGATATTAACCTCTTGTCATATGCATCATTTGCAAATATTTTCTCTCATTCCATAGGTTGTGTTTTGGTTTTGTTGATGGTTTCCTTTGCTGTGCAGAAGCTTTTAAGTTTGATTAGGTCCCATTTGTTTACTTTTGCTTTTGTTTCTTTTGCCTTGGGACACTGACCTAAGAAAATATTGCTACAACTTTTGTCAGAGTGTTTTGCCTATGTTTTATGGTGTCATGTCTTACATTTAGGCCTTTACACAATTTGAGTTTATTTTTGTATATGGTGTGAGGGAATGTTCTAATTTCCTTGTATTACATGTAGCTGTCCAGCTTTCATAAGACCACTTGTTGAAGAGACTGTCTTTTCTCCATTGTATACTCTTGCCTCCTTGGTTGTAGATTAATTGACCATAGGTACATGGGTTTATTTCTGGGTTCTCTACTCTGTTCCATTGAACTACAATGGAGTAGGTTCTCTACTCCATTGATCTACATGTCTGTTTTTGTGCCAATACCATGCTGCTTTGATTACTGTACCTTTGTAGTATAGTCTAAAGTCAAGGAAGGGTTATATCTTGAGCTTTCTTCTGTTTTCTCAGTATTGCTTTGGCAATTCTGGGTCTTTTATGGTTCCATATAAATTTTAGGATTATTTGTTCTAGTTCTGTGAACAATGTCACAGGCATTTTTATAAGGATTGCATTAAATCTGTAGATTGGTTTGGGTAGTATGGCCATTTTAGCAATATTAATTCTTCCAATCCAAGAGCACAGTATATTTTTTCCATTTCTCTGAATCATGTTCAGATTCCTTTATCAATGTTTTATAGTTTTCAGTGTATAGGTCTTTCACTTCATTGGTTAAGTCTATTGCTAGGTTTTCTTTTGTTTGTTTGTTTTTAGATGCAATTTTAAATGGAATTTTTTTTTAACTTACTCTTTCTGACATTTCATTATTAGGGTAAAGAAACACAACAGATTTCTGTATATTCATCGTGTATCCTCTTACCTTGCTGAATTCATATATTAGTTCCAACAGTTTTTTATACAGTAGCATTCTCTATATAAAGTATTATGTCATCTGTAAATAGTGACAGTTTTACTTATTCCTTTCTATTTTGCATAGCTTTTATTTCTTTTTCTTTTCTGACTTCCAATACTATGTTGAATAGAAGTCATGAGAGTGGGCATCCTTGTCTTGTTCCTGAATTTCAGGAAGGCTTTCAGCTTCTCACCTTTGAGTATTATGTTGGCTGTGGGTTTGTCATAAATCAATCACCTTTATTATGTTGAGATATGTTCCTGCTATACCCACATCCATGAGGGTTTTTATCATGAATGGATGTTGAATTTTGCCAAATGCTATTTATGCATTTGACAAAATTTCCTTCTGCACAAGGATGGTTCAACATACAGAAATCAATCAATGTGATATACCACAATAACAAAAGGAAAGACAAAATCTACATGCAAGAAGGTTTCAGTTGTCAATTTTACAGGCATAAAGTTGTTTGTTTTATTCCCTTACTGTTCTTTAAATGTCTGCAGTATATGTAGTGACCTCCTCTTTTGCACTCTTGATACTGGTTATTTGTATCTTCTGTTTTCCTGTCAAACTACCTATAGGTTTATCCATTTTATCAATCTTCTCCAAGAAGCAGGTCTTGATTTGATCCTCTCTATATTATTTCTTTTTTCAATATCATTGATTTTTTCTCTGTCTTTATTATTTCCTATTGGGGTTTAAGTTGCTCTTTTTTTTTAGTTCCTTATGGTAGAAGTTCAGATTATTGATTTGAGACTTTTCTTTTTCCAATATAAGTATTTCATGGTTTAAATATCCTTCTAAGCAATGCTTTTGCTGTATCCCACAAGTTCTGATATTTTGATATGCTGTGTTTCATTTTTATTATATTCGAAGCACTTTCTAATTTCCCTTGTTAGTACTTTCTCTTTGATTCATTTATTAGTTGTAAGTATCTGCATAATTTTCAAATATTTGGGGATATTCTAGATTTATGTTTTGATTTCTACATTCATCCCAGTTTGATCAGATAATGTACTCTGAATGATTTCAATTATTTGAAATTTGTTAAAAATTATCTTACTGTCTAGAATATGGTATTAGAGAATGTTCCATGTTCACTTGAGAAGAGTAAATATTTTGTTATTCTTCAGTGGACCCTTTCTTTCAAGAGTAAAAATCCCTCCAGTGGCTCCCTGCTTTTGATCATGCTCTAATGCCTTAAACATTGTTTTTAAGTAAGATTTGCCCAGAGTTTATAAATCATATCTGTGAGACAATTAATCTTTTACAATTTACACTATGATTTCCTGTAGCCAAAAACTGTCAGACTTCTTGTAATTTAAGATAACACTTTCTTATGTTTAAGAAAGTGTGTGTTGAATTTTTTGATGCTTTTCATGGAAAAAAGTCCTAACTCATGCATATACACAGTAGTTTACAATGTATAAATTGGAATGCCAAGAACCTGTGGGGTGAGAGGGGGGAAGCTCTACAAGTAGAAGTATTTTTTACTTGATTTGACCGATATTAAATTAAGTTAGAAACCAATTAAACAGGGGGATCAAGCACATATGGCTGTTTTTACTGTAAGTAAAACAATTTACAAAGCGTTTCTACAGTATTTACAAATTAAGAAGGAAATAAATGGAAATGTTATTACCTTTACACTGAGGAGGGTCACTACTCCATTTGTCATTTCCAATACAAACAAGCTTGCTCTCTCCAACAAGTGAATACTGATCTGTTCCATTTGAAGCATCACAACTATAAGTTACTACTTCACTGTATTCAAATATATCCTTGTGGCTATTTGTGTATTTTCCATTTAGAATTTTTTCAGGTGGTTTACACAAAATCTCTTAGAAAGGGAAAAAAAGAAGACATAAAAGGCAAAAGGAAAGCTAAAAGATTAAACAGCAATTAGTAAAGATCAATGAATTGCCTTCAGTAAATTAACATATGATTTCTACAAGCTAGTTGTGAATCCAATATCCATTTAGAAGGTTTCTATGAGAAAATGTATTATCCTAAATTCAAACTATTAATTTAGAAGTGAATTATTTAAAATAAAACTAATTTTCTTAAATAACAACATTAAAAATCTATATGAAACATATTTATTTATCTGCAAGGCCATACTAAGTTTTGTTCTCATCATAAGAGATGTTGACAATTTAATAATATAACATAATAATGATTAAAAACAGAGCTCAGTGCTGGTTGAGAAACACTTCATAATTTATAAATATATCTATTCACTAAATCAGTTCTTCACATTGGTACCAAGTATTATCGTCATTTTTCACTTTCATCCTTACAAGTGTATGGTGAAATTTTCCAGGGGCTATAAATTGTGTGATTTTGCAAGACACTGAATCCAGATGTCTTCCTTTAAGCCAGATATTGAAGAAATTTGCAAAAATGTAAAACAATGCCACTATTTGTTTTGGAAATTTTTGATTTTTCATAAAAGTATGTTGTATATACTAACAGGTATTGTGCTTACTCTTCTTAAAAATGAATAATAATTATTTTAAAAACTTTTCAGTTTTAATTCCAATATAATAATAGAAAAAGATATAACCCACATAAAGAAAAGTTCATTGGTATCTATGTTAATTTAAAAGCATAAAGGGGTCCTGAGGCCCAAAGTTTAAGAACTGCTCCTCTATATTCTAAAGAGAGAATATACTTACTTTCACACATTGGAGGATTATCACTCCAGTTCACACTATTTTCAGAAATGTCACAGTATAGAATACTTGGTCCAATTAAGAAATAACTAAATGAGAAAAGAAAAGTTACTATGTTCTTTAGTAGTTACAAGATGGACATAATAATGAAAACAATTTTATATGGTTGTTTTCCTGCACTATAGTAATTTGAGGGAGAAGTTCCTTAAACAAAATATAATGTAAGTGCTAACTAAATATGCAACTTAATTAAATAGAGTTTCTGCATGTGAACACACATTGGCCCACAGCAAAATGTCTAAATTACTCTGTCATGTTGTCGGGGTAGCCCTTCTGCTATCTCTGGCAAATGCATCACATGTTCACTTCTCTACCCTTTTGCTCACACCATTCTGCTCAGTAAGGACTGAGCAGACAGATCAGGCCCTAGAGCTTGCCTGCCTGGATTCAAGTTCCAGCTCTAAGACTGACTTATTTGAGCTTGGGCAAGCCCCTTAGGCAAGGTTCTCTTGCTCAGTTTCCTCATCTATGAAAAGGAGGGTAACACTACATACCTCATAGGACTGTTCTGAGGATTGGATGAGTTAGCATCTGGCATGTAGTGAGTATTAGGTAAGTTTTAGCTTTTTAAACATTTGTTAGATAATATTCTTTAGATTCTTTATTAACATTCAGAATACAGGCATACCTCATCTTACTGCTCTTCACTTTATTAAGTTTTTAACAAACTGAAGGTGTATGGCAACCCTGCATCAAACAAGTCTATTTGTGCCATTTTCTCCAAAACGTTTGCTCACTTCATGTCTCTGTGTCACATTTTGGTAAATCTCACATATTTCAAACTTTATTACTATTATTATACTTGTTATAGTGATCTGTGATCAATGTCTTTAATGTTACTACTATGCCTCTGAGGCTCAGATTATGGTTAGCATTTTTTTCGTAATATAGTATTTTAAAATTAAGGTATATACATTTTTTTAGACATAATTCTATTGCACACTTACCAGACTACAGTATAGTATAAATGTATGTAAAAATCTCATTTGATTTGCTTTATTGCAGTGGTGTGGAAAGGAACCTGCGATATCTCCAAGGTATGCCTGTATCCTTCTAGTAGTAGTTCAGGAATACTACTCAATGAAGTATTCTCCAACTATTTAAATTCATAATACACTCTTCTCCTTCTGGACTCTCATTGTAATAATCATGAATGATTCTATCTATTTCGTACTTTTCATTTACTATTGTGCTCCGATGCCTCTTTATATATTGCGTTTCTCAAGAGGGCTACAACTCCCTTGATTCTACATCGTAAACTTTTGGTGCCTAGTAGCCTCTTCTATATGTTCCAGCGGAACATTCACTGAATATTCAGCTATTTTTACTTGATCAAGTTAAAAATACTCAGTGTAACTGCCTGTACCCACTTCCAGAGGACTTTTCCTAAAGGCTAATTCATTGATTCTAGATTATAATGCGTTAGGAGAGGATTCTGGTGGCAAAATAAGTGGCAACAGAAATCAGTCTCCACACCTCGATAACGACACTGACAGAATCTGCCTGATATCACTACTTTGGAAGTCTAGAATCTGTTCATGGCTTGCAATTACTAGAAGACTTAGGTAAATTAACTGGATTTCAGTCAATTTTAGCTTTTAGCACAGTGGGAGCTACCTATCGCCCCCCCCGCCCCGCCCAGCTGGCATCTTTACACGTGTTGCTAGAGCAGCTTATAAGTAGCCTGTGGGAGCTAGGGTGGGCAAAAAGGAATCTGCCCTCCAAGTATCAGGGATTTGTGTTTTTATCACTGCTGCTTCTGATCACAGAGAAGCAGAAAAAGAGGTGGGCAGCCTTTGTTGTCACACCTCCCGCAACTTTTTCAAGCTCCTTCAACACTGGACAAATGATATCCAAGGGATTTAAAATCCAGCATCCTTTGCCTCTCCCCTTCACTTTTACTTTTTTTCCACTAACAGGAGCCAGACATTAAACACTAGTACATTCAAAAATAACTGCCATGTGGAAAAAAATGAGAAAATCATTCCGCCTGCTCAGAGAAAGGCTCAGAAAAAACCTGAGATGAACTTCAAGTTTATATGTCAGGCTGCTCCTCAGCACAGAGACACCATACAACAATCAAAAAACCAAACCAAAACAAAACAAGAAAACCCATAAAACAAATAAGCCAAAAGCTTAAAATTCTCCAAAAGCTTAAAATTCTGAGTGCGGGTCTCTTTGTATTCACGGTCTCTTTGTATTCATCTTACTAAGATACATGATAATCAGACTTTCAAAAGACAAAGAATGCTGAAAGCTGCATGAGAGAAGTGAATCATCACATACAAGGGATACTAATTAAGATTTGTCATTAGAAACTCAGAGACCAGAAGACTATGGATTGATATGGTCAAAGTGCTAAAAGAAAAAAAGTCCTCTGTTTCCTTATTTATCTTCTGTCTAGTTGTTCTATCCATTATTGTGAGTGAGGTATTGCAGTCTCCAACTATTATGTAGAAATGCTTATCGTGTACAAATGCATATTTCTCCCTTCAATTCTGTCACTGTTTGTTTTGCTTTGTTTTGTTTTGTTTGGCCTCCCTGTGAGGCTTGTGGGATCTTAGCTCCACAACCAGGGATTGAACCCGTGCCCCCTACGGTAGAAGTGCAGAGTCCTAACCACTGGACCACCAGGGAATTCCCATGTACAATGTTAAATGTATAATAATTCCCATGGTAACCACAAACAATATAACTACAGAATAAACAAAAAAGGAAATGAGAAAGGAATTTAAACATTTCACTACAAAAATCAACTACACACAAAAGAAAACAGTAATGCAGGAAATGAGGGACTAGAAAAAAGCTATAAAGCATATAGAAAACAAGTAGCACAATGACAGAAATAAATCCCTCCTCATCAATAATTATATTAAGTATAGACAGAATAAACTCTCCAATCAAAAGACAGAGATTGGCAGAATGGATAAAAACACATGATCCAACTATATGTTGTCTACAAGAGACTCACTTGACATTCAAAGACACAAATGGGGTGAAAATGAAAGGCTGGAAAAAGATATTTCTCACAAATAGTAACCAAAAGACAGTAGAGTAGCTATACTAAAATCTGACAAAATAGACTTTAAATGAAAAAGGTAATAAGAAACAAAGAAGTAAATTTTATATTAATAAGGATTCAGTACCGAAGATATAACAATTATAAACATTTATGCACATAATGACAGGCTATCAAAATATATGAAGCAAAAAATGACAGAATTGAAGGAAGAAATATGCATTTCTACATAATAGTTGGAGACTGCAATACCTCGCTCACAATAATGGATAGAACAACTAGACAGAAGATAAATAAAGAAACAGAGGACTTCAACAGCACAGTAAAACAACCTGATCTCACAGATATATACAAAGCACTCTACCCAACAACAGAATACGCAGGCTTTTCAAGAGCATGTGAGACTTTTTCCAGGATAGACCATATATTAGGTGACAAATTAGAAAACAAATTAATGTTATTCAAAACATAATTAATTATTTAATAAATAATTAATAATATAATTGTTTTATGCCACAAATTAATATTAATAATAGATTTTAAAAGACAGATATCATAAAAAGTATATTCTCTGACCACAATAGGATGAATTTAAAAATCAACATCAAAAGAAAAATTGGAAAATTCATAAAATTGTGAAAATTAAACAATATGCTTTTGAACAACCAATGGCTCAAAGAAGAAATCAGGGCAATTAGAACATACTTTGACATGAATGGAAATGAAAACATAACATACTAAAACTTATGGGATTCGGCAAGAGCAGTGCTAAGGGGGAAATTTATAGCTATAAATGTTTACATGAAGAAACGACAGCTCTGAAAAAACAAACTAAGCCTACAATTTAAGGAACCAGAAAAAGATAAACCCAAAGTTAGCAGAAGGAAGCAAATAATAAAGATTAGAACAGAGATAAACAACAACAACAAAAAGAGCGAAACAAGAGAGAATATCAATGAAACTAAAAAGTGGTTCTTCAAAAAATGCGACAAAATTGACAAACCCTTAGATTGACTAAAACAAAGAGATTAGACTCAAATTACTAAAATCAGAAATGAAAGCAGGAATATCACTATAGATTTGACAGAAATAAAAACCATTATGAGAGTACTATGAACAATTTTATGCCACAAATGGATAAACTAGATATAATGGACAAATTCCTAGAAACACAAAACCTACCAAGAGTTAATCACAAAAACAGATAATCTGAATAGATCTATAACTAGTAAGGAGACTGAATCAGTAATCAAAATTCTCCCAATTAAGAAAAATCCTGGATCTGATGGTTTCATTGGTGATTTCTACCAAACATTTAAAGAAGTAATACCAATCCTTCTCAAACTTTTCCAAAAAACTGAAAAGGAGGGAAGTCTTCCAAACCCATTCTATGAGACAAGCATTACGGTGATAGCAAAATTCAATAAAGGTACTACAAGAAAAGAAAGCTAGAGACCACTATCCCTTAAGAACACTGATGCAAACAATCTCAACACAATACTAGCAAACAATTTAGCAGCATTTTAAAAGGATTAAACATCATGACCAAGTGGGAATTATTCCTAGAATGCAAGAGATGGCTCAACACATAAAAATCAATCAATGTAATATGCAACATCAAAAGAATGAAAGGAAAAAAAAACACATGGTCACCTCAATTGAGGCAGAAAAAGCATTTGATAAAATTCAATATTTTTCATAATAAAAATACTTAACAAACTAGAAACAGAAGGAAACTGCCTTAAAATAATCAACTCCATACATGAAAATCCAACAGCAAACATCATGCTCAGTGGTGAAAATCTGGAAGTTTTCCTCTAAGATCAGAACAGGCATGAACAACTGCTTTTACCACTTTTATTCAACGTGGTACTAGAAGTTCTAGTCAGAGCAATTAAGCAAGAAAAAGAAATACATTTCTAACTTGGAAAGAAAGAAGTAAAATTATCACGGTTTGCAGAGGATATGATCTTCTACATAAAAAACCCTAAAGGTTACACACACACACACACACACACACACACACACACACACACACTGTAAAAACTAATAAATAAACTCAGTAAACCACCAGGATACATATTTAAAAACCAGTTGTGTTTCCATAGCATATTACATTTACTTTTTAAATTCACATTTTTTATAAATGTTCAGTATCCCTAACATATGCTATTAAAAGAGCCCTGTAAAACAAAGGCTATTATTAAATACTCAGTACCTCTTTTTCAGATGCTTCACTCCTTTGTAGTAGTTATAAAAATAAGGTTTTCCAATTAAGAGATCTTGATCAACATTACTGTCTAAGCTTACCAGGTCACTTTTGGTCTCGTGACATCTTACAGATTACTTTGATATAAGGATATCTTCAGTCGGCAACACTACCTCCCAGTTCCATAAACCTATTTCACCTCTGAGAACTGACCATTTTAAATAGGGTGCATTGTGTTGTCAAGGATAAAGTCACCATGATTAACACATTTTTAATGCTTATGAGAGGTTTATTAATAAATATACTAAGTATTACACAATTTTACTTTCCTTCAATTTAAATTTCTTTCTACTAGTTACACATCTTTTCAGTCTCCATAAAAAGCCCAAGAGTTATTTGGCTACAGTACGACTTGTCACACAGAAAGCAAAATGAAATCAACTTTGTGGGAATGTTTGAGAGGCAAAATGAAAATAGATTTAGTAACATATAACATTATTTCCTCTAAGGAACATCCTACTTACCCAACATTACAAACATAATGAGCTTGTGAGCCAAAACGAATACTTCCATTTGGGTACTGTACTTGGCCATTTAGGGGATCCCCTAGGTTAGGACACTGTTTTCCTAAAAGGAAAATTTCAAATTCGTTGTTTTATACCCATTTCAAAACAGATTTGAATCAAATTCAAAATTCTACATTCCTCACTTGAATTCATGGGAATATTATTATCTTTTATTATTTGCTTTCTTTAACTATTATAACGTCAAAGAAGATTCACATTTACCCAGGCAACCAATTGTGAAAAAAAAGGTTCCCTGGAGATTTTTCAAAGCCTGAATGCACTGCTGTCTAAAACCTACATTCACATAAGAAAACCATTTCAGTTGTAAAATATGAACCCTAAAATGTGTAAAAAATCTCTAGAGCAATAAAAAAGTTCTTGGAATTAAAAAAAAAAGTTTTGTTTACTTACCTGTACAGGCCTCCTCGAGAGGTGACCACGTATTATCATCCTGACAAACAGCAGAGGTAGGAAGAGAAGGACGCTTGGGCTGGTAACCTGGGCGACACTCATAATGTATACTGTCCCCAGGGCTATAACTGGGTTTAGGGACATCCCGGAGCTGCATAGTTGCAAACCTTGGTGGCTCACCGCAGGCATCTAGGTATAAGAGAATAAGAGCATAAAAATATTTTATCTCATTCACCAGCCAGGGACTGTGGCCTGGCATTAGGTAGGTAGTACAGAATAAATGGAAAGGTTCTCAGCAAGATTTTAAATGACCGTCCCATGCTTTTACCCAATGGGTGGTAGTAGTGGAGTATGTGCCTTACTTACATTAAATAACAACCTATTAGCTTTTGGTTTGGTAGGGAATAAGATGAATTTTTATTCAAGAGTAAATTAAAGAGACAGCATCAATGTTTCTAGCTTTGAAATATAAATACATTTTAGGTATGTATCCTTCTCCACTTTTTTCTAAATTCATTTCAAAACTCACCTCTCCTCTAAGAAGTCTCCTACAGTATACAGCACTCTATTCAGATTACTCTTCCATAGTTTGAAACACAAGCATATGATCACTTGTCATTTCAGGCTCAGTTTCCTCTCAGAAGGCAAGGTCCTAGAGGGCAGTGATCATATGCCTTCTTTTTCTACTACCCTCTGTACTTAGTTGGTACTCAAGACATGCTATGTTAAGAGATGAATATAAAATATGCCTTGTGGGATTCATAAATCAAAATAATTATGGACCGAAGTATTTCAAAAAATAATACTCGGTTTCATTTGTTTCCTATTAGTGAATTGAGCATTTTAAAAGTGGTAAATAGACACCATGTATGTATCAAAATGTACTATCTGAAAAGCATTACATGAAAAAACAACTTGCTCTCTTCGACATTACTTTAAATATAATTTAACTTTCCTTCACAGATCAATGGATTGCTCAATCCTCAGAAGCTCCCTGAGGTAGCTGTTTGGGTTGTTTATCCAATATATCCCAACAGTAAAGCTATTATATTGCTATGCTTTTAGAATTTTTTTTTTTTAACATCTTTATTGGGGTATAATTGCTTTACAATGGTGTGTTAGTTTCT